TAGAGGTCACTGCAATGAAGTACCTGCTTACATGCTGTTGCCCTTGTTGTGTTTTCAGTTCATTTTTCCCTGTAGTACTCAGCTCTGTAGTTTACCCTTGAGGGGGTGGCTTGGTGGGGGTCACTCACCTCTCGAAATGCTAGGTAGCTTCATCTGGGGAAACTGGGACATTGATTTAGTTCGACACGATTTTGGTCGTGTCGAAAGGGGGGATTGTTAGGTAATTTCTTAGTTAGATAGATATGGATTAGAGATCTGTTGTATTAGGAATGTTAGTGCAGCCAGGATGTCTTCCTCAGGCTGTTAAATGCAAGGTTAGTTAAAAAGCAGAGAAGGGCTCAAGTCAGGGACGAATGTTATTATGACGGTAAAAGTAACCATAATATTTGTCTTAATGTGTAATGTTATGTCAAATTGTTTTAGATACACACCACGAAAACAACAGCCACACACATTATTTTCTTCATGTTTTGTCTACTGCTCTGCTCAGCTGCCAAGCTGGCATATCAGGTGACGTCACGGTTCGACAGCCCAGAAAGGATTAATATTGTATAGCAATGCTTGGTTCGGGGTCTTTTCTTTTTCCGGGCTGCTTTGGCAGCCTGGGGGTTGGAAGATCTCTGGACTGGAAGTGTGAATTCTTGCCTGTGCCTCTTTGAATAAACCAGCACGGTTATATTTTTATATACTCAAGTGGTCTGAGTCGTCCCTCGGAGTTCCTGGTTTGATAGAACCGGACGAGGCTTTATAATGGAATAGAGCCTTTACTCTTTAACCAGGTAAGTCCCGTAGTTTGTAGCAAGTTGAGATCCTACCACAATTCATGAATTGAAAAGTCATGTGTTGTCCTTTTCCCTCAAGAACGGTGGGTTTGCACCATTAAGATGAAAGGTCTTCCACGTATGGTCCTCTCTATGGGTGGCTCGCCATCTGGTGTCCAAGGTCAGTGTGCAACACTGGGCAGGTCTTAAACCTCAACTAAAATGGCCTGTCATTACGACAGGGTAACATACATAGCAGACTATTTAGTACACAGATAACAACCCTAACGTAACTTCATTACAGGGTGATACATCCTCTGTGTGCCCCCCCCACCGTAATGGCGGAGCAGCCTGCATGTTACTACGTGCACGTCACATTTGTTTTTTGTTTTTTTTATATAGTAAGTACTCTTTGCCATTGGTTCCATTAGTTCACACAGTGAAACATGAAAACATAACTATACTACACTGTCAACCATTATAAATGAAATAAAATACACTTCAGTTGTAACCATAACCCTGTGACAATTTACAATGTGACACGGTAATTTTAACTCACCAAGTCCTCGTTTTTAACATACAAAACAAAACTAAAAATACAGTAATGTCCAAAAGTTTGTGGATACTCAAAACAAGAAAGTTTTCAATCACTTTTCCTTCCTTTTCTATCCAACTATCGTTTTTTTTCCCTATCCAGCTATCGTCCCCTTATTTCTACCGATTCAATTGCTCTGTTTTTTTTTCCCCTTTTCTTCTTTTTTTCCGTATAAGCTAAATCTTCACTGATTGGCTCATTCTGTCACGACTCTGTCACACCCTTAAGGAGTATGACAACCATTCATTTTTTTTCTTTCATATCAAGAATACAGTTAAAACATACGTAACAATCTATCTCTTCTTTATATTGACATTACTAATCTGCCTTTTAAATTTTTATATTGACCTGGGTTACAAGTACATCACATATTTCCTAGTAATAAACTCCTCAGCTGTTTAGGAGTCTGATGGCAAAAGGAAAAAAAGAGTTTTTCAATCTAGTGGTCCTACATTTCACACTTCTGAACCTCCGGCCAGAGGGCAAGAAGGTTGCCATTACATTAATCCTTTGTTAGAGAATGTTATTAAATGTTCTGGGAATGTTCCTTCCTAGCTGGAAAGTCTAAGAGATTTCTCCTAGATTGAGCA